AGATTATTCCGATGATGAATTCTTGGTTTCTGATTTACCTCCACTTATTCCAGATCCATTAACGGTATCTCGAAGAGTAATCTTTACTGGTGGACCTAATAGAATGGTTTCAGCTAATATATTAAATGTAACAGATCTTATTTCTGCAATTAGAGTATCATCAGAATTTACTGATTCAGAACGAATTAATTTATTAAATAGTCTTGCTCGAGCCATGGGTGTAGACCCTTTGGATCATTGCGAATCCATAACTCGCCCCTACGGCCTGATCAAGGACTACATCAATCGTGGCAAGGTCTTTAGGCAGATAATTAATTATCCGAACATTAGTTATTTTTTTTTTGATTATAATATACATCATTAAATAATATTTGACATGGTATTCATAGAAACACTCATAGAAGGAAAAATTCCAGTTAAAGCATTAATTGATACATCATCGAAGTTTAATACCATTAGCAAGAGTTTTTTCGATAGGCTTGGGACAAATCATGGAATAGGAACAACCTGTGATCTGGTTAAAAACCTCTATGAAGATGCAATAGGTGAGATTCATTGTTTGGATTTACAATTCCAGTATAAAGGGACATACCATAGCTTAGATGGTACTGATGCAATAGACTTTGAGATTCGCAAAAATCCAACATTTGATCTGGTATTGGGTCAAGGTTGGTTATGGGTGTATAAGGTAAAGATGAGCTTTAATTCCCATGCTAAAATAGTAATGCAAGGTATAAGCATCTCATTAATCGATGAAGACTTTATAGCCAGCTCTAATCCAGAATCCATCAGTTCAGAATGGTATGATCTTGATCTGATAAAACTCCGAAAGAATCGTGTTCATATTAAAAAGAAAAAAGTTGACTCTTCTATCCGAAAACATCATAAAAATAAGCATACCAACTGTGTCCGCATTCCAGAGTAGTGTGACCTATCTAATCAACTATAACAACTGGTGCGAGTGGAAGGTCTTTGAATCTTTTTTCGATATGAGCCTTTTTCCTCTCCAGTTCGGAAAAAGAAAAATAGCTCATCTATTGTCTTATGGAATAAGGATGCTCCGCATCTAACAATTACCTGCTAACTATATATGTCTGGCTTCGAGTGATTTATCAGGAGAAGGCGGGATAATATTTTCGATGGAGGTACCTCTATCAATACTTTTTCCGCACCCTTTTCAGTACATATACTGTATATACCCACATTATATGTATTAATTTTCCACCCTTGCAGTTATGTCCATGATGAAGTAAAAATCGATAATCATCCATTACAATATCAATCATCTCCGCCTGATCTGCTATTAATTTCCGAAAAAGCTGTTTATATTCATCCGTAATTGGGAGGCGGATTTCTTCAGGGCTGAATCCTATATACTTGGAAATCTGATCGCGTAATTCATATGACATTTTTTGTTACTATGATACATAATAAAAATATATTTAATTTATTTCGCTATATCACGTTACAAGGGAGCGATGTCATGTGTTTTAAATTTGCGAACCAGAGGTCAGCATAGAAGTATTTCGGAGAAATGACACAGTCTCGTAGAACATACATAACCAGCGATCGAAAAAAATAATTGAGCGTGAGAAATAATCGTTGATAATCGATAAGTTGCATATTTACAGCAATCACCCAATCAAGATTGATAATGC